CAAGTTTCTGTGCTTCTTTGTTACGTGAACCCTGAAAAACACAACTCTGGGCATGTGGGAGGGCTCCCCCAAAGAATTTTGTTTACTCTTCACAAAATAAATCTTTACATGCCAATTCATTTGCCACACAAAGTTCCCCTGAGGTAGGCTGTGTCTCTTTACACCATGTATAACCCAACCCCTGACTGGCATCCAGTTTGCTTTAAGGATTTCTGGACAGGCTTTGCATTTACTTGAGCATGGAAAAGTGTAGGTAAATTGAGACCATTAATTCTGGGCCTGTATCTCTACCCCAGATATGTATGAAGGGCTTTTTTTGTTAGAGCTCTGTGATAACTGAGCTGGTGTGGCTGCTTCCTTGGGATGGCAGTTCCATCATTGCCAGGAACATTTCTGACCTCTGCGACAACACTTGGTATGGAGGGAACACTTCTTGTGCCGTGTTTGCTTTAAATCCAAGAACATCATTTAGTTCATGAAAAGCCATTTCTGTGGCTGTTCTTCTGGAAAGGCGTCGTGGTCTTTGATCTTTTGAGGCATTTCCAGCCTGGTAAGCATCCAGGTTGGAAATGGAACATCCAAGGAACATCCTAGAAGTAACATTGTCTTGGGCACCCTTTGGCAGCCCAGCTGGAGAGAGCAGGGCCCTGAGGCCAGACTCTTCCTTCTGCCTACAAGACTCCCCTTCTGAACAGAGGGGTATCAAAGTCACAAAAAGGAGAAACTGGGTATTTCAAATGCTGGTTCTGTCCTGGTACTGAACATACTTGGTTTTTCCCTCTGTGCCCTCAGCTCAGGATATCCATAATGACAATAGCAGTTCCATGACCAGCACTTTTCAAACCCCAAGGCCACATAAGTCCCTACATGGCTGTAGAAAAATCTCAGCTTTTTACAGCTCTCATTACACAGAGGCTGGATGAGTTTCATGCTAACATGTTAGAATATTAACTGTTTAGCTATCATGGAAAGTTAGGAATTTAACTGAGCCAGGATGCCTGGGAACAAGGAGTTTCAGAGACACAGTCATTTCAGTAAATCCATTATTTTTCAAACATACCTGATGCCAAATCAAACCAATACAAGTGACCCCAGACAACATTACAGCTGAAACCTGAAGCAGCTGTATCACCAATCTTACAGCAGTGAAGGGAACACTTTCATTCACTAGTTTTGTCTATCTTTCTTTCCTTTCCTGCTTTTTAAGTGGCAGAGTTCAGAGCACACAGCACTCTGCAGGATCAGACCTCCTGTAAAGGATTCGCTCCTCCCTGCCCTGGGAATTGCACATTTCCTTTCCCTGATGTGCGAGCACTGAGCACAGAGCACTGGCTTGCTCTCACCTGTTCATAGGAACTGCATTTTACCTCCATCCCATTGCAAATCAAAGACACTGGGCTGTGCCTTTCAGTCAAACAAGGTGTGAATGGAGATTTATAAAATGTGTATTGATAGCAACTCAAGAGCTGTTACCATCACCTGTGGGGAAAACAATTGTCTGGATCCTGTGAAATACCAACTGAAATGCTTTCATGTTGTCTTGACTTCAGGGAAAAACTGTCCTGATGTTCCCTGAGCTGGAAATGAGGTGATAACTAGGGTCAGGTCCAAGTTAGTGGGAAAGCAAGTCAGCCTTGCTTAGGGAACTTGCATCCAAAGTAAAAGGAAAAGACATCTAAATGGTCAGATTCCTTTTGTGGTTGTGAAAGTTAAGGATAAAATCCTTCATTGAAAGACCTGTTGAAGTAAAACAATTTTCTGTTTAACCTCTCCTGCCAAGTGTTAGGCAGAGAAAATAAGGGAGACACAATATCTGAGAAACTCACTATTGCTGCAATATAATATTGTGTGAGAAAATTATTCAAATATCAAATCTAGAGAAAAAATGATACCTGACTTTCCCCCCAAATGAAAAATGTTCACAAGACAAGAGTGACTTGGCCCATGGGAGCCAATGTCACATGTGAGGGCAACCTGGATAGGAGGTGTCTTCTTTTATGGAGATAAAGGTCTTCACCTCACACATCAAAGTCACAAGGTTTCCTTTTAATGGTGACTTTAGTTTGACATGATTATATATGGCTGCATATAATAACAGCAAGGCAGATCTGTAACTTCAATTTCATCCTATTTTCTTGCCACATTTCAGAGATGGTAACAGACATGCAAGAGAAAAGCAGTCAGGGGAGCTTTGCTGTGTTTTGTGTATTGTTTATGAAGTGTGAAAGCCTTATTTCAGTACTCATTTTTCACATTTATTTCAGACCCTTGTCTTCCAAATATTTATCTGCTCTGAGATTGAAGAGTTGTATAAACAAGCAACCCTGTCCATGGATGCTGAGGGTTTTTTCAAGCTTTCCTCCCAAGAAAGCCCATAATTTGTCTTTTGAAATTCTCAGTGTAATCTCATGGAAATTAAAGGCACAAGGGCTGTTGTCTAATGAGCAGCCTGGCTGAGAATCACTGCTGCACAAATACTCAGCTCCCAAGCCTGTGATTGTGTTGGGAGCACAGGGTTACATCAGAGTCCATTGTAAACCTTCCCTTTTGCTCTGACTGAGTCCTTTAAACTCAATTTCTGCAGAAAAATCCCAGTAAAACACCATGAGAAGTACTCTGAGAAACCCTAACAAAATACACACAGTTCAGGCTGGGAGAAAGTTAAACCACATGTGACAGAGCACCTGGTCAGAGCACAGTCTGGGCTCCCACAGACACAGGCAGACCTGCAGAAGGCACAAAATGCAGGTTGCTGGCCCTGTAGGGATTTATTCCCTGGGTATTAGGGGAAGTTCAGCGGGCTCATGAATGTCAGATTTACCAAAGGTGAGCTCTAGGCCTCTCCCTCAGGCAGAGGGCTTGGCTAGACTTGGTGGAAGCTGAAACTTCCACCTCCTCTCACTCCTCAGGGCAGCTCCATGCCAGGCTCCATCTGGCAGCCTTGGCCCTGCCAGGCCCATCCTGGCACTGCTTCTCATCCTCAGCAGCTCTGGGGCTTGTGTGCAGCCCTGGGCTCACTGCAAGGCTGCTGGCTGGCATCACTTGGTGCCCTTCTTACTTAGAAGCTTTTCCTTATTTCCCACAACTTGTGGAAGCAATTGTGGGACCTCTGTTTCTGCTTTAAATGCATAATTTTGTATTATACCCATTAAAAATAATGAATTTGGGATGGGTCACAGCATGGATATCCTGACATAGCTATGTTTAGAATTATAGATGGAACATAAGAGATTTCTGCCCTATTTTTTTGCAATTTAATTCATAATTATCCTTGAGTACAGTTGGGCATGTTCATGACTTTGCTTCTACTTGCCTGAATAGTTTTTATCTTAGTTTCTTGCCATCTGTAAGTTAGCGTTCAGAGCAGTGTTGAGGAGGCAGAGCTGGTGGTGCTGAGCAGCTGCTGCTGCACTCACTGCTGTGAGAGCCAACTGCTCCCGCTGGGAAATGCTGCTCTGAGCTGCTGCTGCTGCTCACTCCTGGCTGGGGACACTGGTGTTTGCCATTGCTGCAGGACCTCAGTTCCATGTGTCACTGCCTGCACACAGCAAAGGACATTGCTCTGCTGGTTATGGGGCTTGTGGGGCCACTGCAGTGCAATTTGATCAGGTTCAGAAGGGATTTCTGGACTTGTTTTGAAGTACTGAATTCTCCCCCTTGCCTCCTCCATTCAATTTCTATTTTCCTTCTTCTACCAAGAGAAAATTCTTCTTATTGACAAATTCTCATTTGGAACTAACTCTTGTGTCTTTCTTTTTCCAATTTACATGCTATGTTTTGGAGTCTAAAATCAGAAACTGTGACACATTCTTCAATGTGATTTGCAATTTGTCTTCCTGTATGAGGACTCACATTCCTCTGTGACCCTGGTGAATGTGATGTGCAACTCAGGCTAAAGGATCTTGTGTTCTCGTTTGGTGGATGCCATTCACTTGTGGTGTTTTTTGGGTTTTTGTTTGGTTTGCTTTGCTTTGTGTTGTGTTATTTTTTTTACTTTTAGAAAAGTCTTTCTTTGTTCATTATCTCAGTTTTCAGATTTTAAAATATGCCAATCATTGTTGTGAGGACTGTCCCCAAAACCTGGGTAAAGAGGCATCCAGCAATAGGGTTAAAGGCTGCCATTTATATTTACGTGGCATCTCATTCTAGATGTGAAGGGACTGAAGCTGAAATCAGCCAAGGGTCTCAGCTGGGTGCATTTGTAGAAGTGAAAATAGCTGAACCTGAAGCTGACAGACAGCAAGTACTATTTTTACCTCAGGAAACTTTGAAGACACTTTGCTGTGACTTCATTTTCTGCTTCAAAGTTGAGAAATGTCCAGACTTCTGAGGTTCTCCCAGGTCAGCTGTCTATGACAAAAATATTTCCCAATACTGACAGTGTGGTTTCAATCCTTCTGCTCAGAGCCAATGATTTGGGTGTGTTCTGATAACTGATCCATGTAGTGCTCCTGGTCTAAGCCTTCTGGAGAATGAGATTTGAGACCTTTTTCACCTTTGGTTCAAGTTTTGGTATGGGTAATACCTGATTACTCAAGTGCAGTTATTCTGTATATATTTATGCCTCATTTCTGTAATGCAGACACTAATATTTTCTTCCCAGGTGTTTCACATAAACCTCCTCCCCAGGTTTGAAAATGTGTTCATTGGGGTTTCTACATCTACTGGCAAGGGATGATTTCCATTTGATGTATTTGAATGTGAAAAGTGTTTTGGTAATGGGCTATGAAAGATATGGCCAAAAGTAAAATTTTGGCCTTTGCATAATTACGTGTGAAAATGAAAAAAGAGTTAATTAAGAAACACTAAGAAAAAAAAAAAAGAGCAAGAAATAGAAAGACCTCAGGACCATCAAGCAGTTAGACATAAAGTATAACTTGCAAAGACATCAGTATGTATTGAATTAATTGTGTTCTGAAGTCCCTTCTCTAATAATAGCTCATGTCACCCTGCTGCTGTGGGATATCATTGCTAAATCAATCTTTTTTCTTCATTCACAGACCCCACAGCCAGTTGAAAACTACATCAGTGAAGGAGAGTTTGAAGACGATCTCAGCTCTTCTGCCCCGAGCACAACGGAGCTGGAGGTCCGTGGATCCAGCCAAGAAACTGATGAAGATTATTTTGAAACCGTGTCACATCAGAGTGGCTCTTTGTCAGATGTAAAAACTGAGCCTTATGAGAGTGCATCAGACACAGAATCCCTTTCCAGTGACATAACTGGGAATGCTTGCTCGGATTCAAACTGCCTGCTTACTGAAAAAACACCCCTGTGCTGTAATCTTCCCAAAGGAAAGGCAGAAACCTCCCAGGAACAGAACAGCCCCAGGCAACCAGAGTTCACCCAGCATGGACAGCTAGAATTGTCCTCCAAAATAAAAGAAGCACCAAGCAAAACTGAATTTTGCATCCAGTGTGCAGAGTTAGAAGGTGAAGAATTGGGTGATGAAGAGCTAACATTATCCAGTGATGTTTCCACCACAGACAGCCAAGTCTATGAAGAGAACATTTTATCACAGGCAAAGAGAGGGTCTGTAACAGCACTGCAGAGTAAGGCAGAGATAGAAAGCAGGGAAGTGCAGTCTACCAACCTAGTACTTACAAAAAATGACATTGCAAGACTGAAGAAACACCCTGCAGTATTCAGCATTGCTTGTTTCAAAGCTAACTCAGAAAGTTGTTTGATTTTTCCTGAGGGGCAGCAGTTTTCCTTCCAGTCAGATGCAGCACCAAGCTGCAGTTTGCCTAATCTTCATTTTGAAACAAATGGGCCTAACATTAAAAAATACACTGAGACACCTGACTGTAAGTGTGAATTAGAGTCTATGTCCAGTATAAAATGCAGCAGGAGGAATTCAGCTGACAATGAGGACACCACAGGTAAAAGGATAAAATATGGAAGTACAGAAACCATGCTGACATCAGATTCACTCTCCTACCAGAGTTGCTTCAACCCAAAATCCTGGCTACCACAAAAAAGGTCAGAGATTATAGAAAGTAAAACATGGCACAGTGTACCTGAAAATATCAGTGCTCAAAGGGAGAATGAATGTGTGGTGAGATGTATTCACCCAACAGACAAATTTAGATGGTCATGTTCCAGAATACATCTTCAAGAGCTGGATTTTGAATACACATGGAAAAACTTAGGAAGAGTAACTGTAAGCCCTGAAAAGCCTATAGAAATAGAGGGCCAATCTGGCACGAAGAGATCTTTTCTTGATACTGACACAGACTCAAAGGTGTGTCAGGTTTCTCAATCTTCCCAACCTTCCCAGTGCATCGATTCTTGTTTGCACTCTAAATCAGAGATGTGTGGCCTTAGCCTAGAGCCAGCTGGTACTTGTGCTGACAGCTTAACATGGAGTGATGTTTGTGAGGATCCAAACCATGAGGAAAGATCCTCTTCCCTGGATTGTGATCCAGGGATCATAGATGCTGAGGAACTGACACAAAACAATGAGTGCACAGCTGAACAAGATCTGGAAGAGAGCAGATTCCCATGTGATATTGATATTGAACTGACACAAAACAACAAGTGCACAGCTGAAAGAGATCTGGAAGTGAGCAGATTCCCATGTGATATTGAACTTACACAAAACAATGAGAGCACAGCTGAACAAGATCTGGAAGAGAGCAGATTCCCATGTGATATTGATATTGAACTGACACAAAACAATGAGAGCACAGCTGAACAAGATCTGGAAGAGAGCAGATTCCCAAGTGATATTGATGTTGAATCAGACACTGGTGACACTCAGAGCCCTGCAGCTTCTCCTGCAGGTGCCCCTGCAGGTGTGGAAAGCACAGACTGGGATTGCTCTGTAAACTGTGTTTCCAGTAGTGGAACACAGCACACACATTTGAAGGAGGATGGCCTTGAATCTGAGCTGTCAGATACTGAGATTGTGGCAGGAGAAAGATGGGCAGATGATTCTGATTCTTCTGATCTTGGCTTTGATTGGAAAGTCCTGGAAGCTGCAACACAACCAGATGGCAGTGACAGAGGGGCAGGTCATGGACAGTCAGTGCAGCAAAATGCAAGTTGCAAAACTGGTGCCTTGAGGAGCCACTCGGAGCTAGGAACACATGAACATCCTACTCATGAGGCAAAGAATGAAGAGAGTGTCTTGGCTGTTGAAAGGACTCTCAAATCAGACTATATAAGGCAGGAAAGGGATGTAATGACTACTCCAGAATTAAAGCCTGCCCTAATTACAGTCTCTGTGGAAGAGAAAGGGTTACAGTCCCAAACACTGAATGATAAGCTTCCTGCTGAAGTGGGAGCTGAAACATTGGGAAATGTAGTGAGCAAGGATTTGATGTCTCCTCACACTGTCAGGAAAGCTCATGGTGAGCCAGAGAGAGATCTGAGTGAATGCTGTAACTGTGAAGAACTAATTCTAGCCACCCACCCCATTCCTGGCAGCACAGAGGTACTTTCTGGTAGGGATACAACTGAAGTAAAACCAGAAATTTCAGAAGAGAAAAGAGAGAAAACAGAAGTAGTTTCATCCTTAGGGCTCACCTGTAGTAACTCTGCAGTAGCAAGTGCAGAATTGGAATTCAGGAATGTTGCTGTAGCACTAGGCAGTGATACACTTCCTGCAGAAATTCAGACAGATCCATGTGAAAAAATACTTGTGAAATCCCGCAGTGGAAGCAGTGTGGAGCTCTCTGAGGATGAGCACTGCAGAGGAAGGCCACTGGTGACTGGAGCAGTGCCACTGGAAACCAGCAGCAGTGTAAGCAGTGTGTGCCAGGAAGGTGGTGCTGGTGTCAGCCTTGAAGGGCCCAGCACTGTAAAATCACAGGGTAGAGGTGATGTGATGGCCTTTGAGGAAGAGCCCTGCAGAACAAAGAGGGGTTTTGAATTCAGGAGGGAACAGTTAGCAAGTAGCTTTGGAAACCTTGGAAGAAGCGAAGACCAGGTGTCCAAGGAAGAGGAATTCAAAGCACATGGAAGCACAGAGGAAGGTTTGAATATTACCAGGGCAGAGACACTGGAAATGAGCAGCAGTGCAAGCAGTTTGTGGCAGGGACATGGTGCTGGTGTCAGTCTTCATTGGCCCAGCATGGTCTCTGAACGAGCAGTAGGCAGGCAAGGAGAGGAAAGCTGTAAGGGCTCAAAGGAAGGAACTGGTATTTGTGAAGGACCCTCTCCTAGGGAAGGAAAGGAGGCCTCTCCTGCACAAGACACCTCTAGCCCCAGCAAAGACAGTGCACTCAGTCTGGATGTGTCTGATGTCTTTGATGAGTCTCTGAACAGGGAGACCCATAGCACTTTCATTCTGGGCCTGGACAACGTGAGTACCTGCAGCACTAACAGCGAGGAACTGGATGAGATCTCATCCCACATCCTGGGGAGTAACAGCAGTCTCCATAAAGCTGTACAAAAGCCAACAAAGAATGAATATAGTGGGAAATCTTCCAGGTTTTTAGTATTCCCAAAAATGACATCTTTCAGGAAAACTAAGCCTGCCTCATGGGAAGGTCAGGGAAGCAGCAGTATCTTTGGCAGCAAGGTAAAGATGGAAGAACTGGATGTTGGGAAAGATGATGACGACACTGCAAGTTTACTGTCTTTCAAAAGTTGTTCATCTGGTTTAGTCTTCCACAGGAAGGAAAGCTACACCTCTGAGTACTCCGATGATGATGATTTATTTTATGAGAGACCTGCAGGATTTTTCAGACTGAGCCTGAGGAAGGCCTCTGGCTCTGGTCGGATACTGATGGAAGATGCAGATCGACATGTTTCAGGTTCATTTGAAAACAATGACAGTGAACCTGTGGAGCATTCAGGGATTAGAAAATCATTCCCTGAAAACGAACACAAAAGAAACAAAACCCCTGAGGGTAAGAAGTTCAAGACAAGGTTGGCCTTGGCACACAAATCCCTCTCAAGCTTATTTGAGTCCAAATGTCCAGAAAAGGAGAACACTGAACAAAGCTCAAAAGCGTCAGTGAAAAATGAAAAGGAGAAAGTCAAAATTCGCCAGAGCACCTGGAAAGCTTTTCTAAAGAGCAAGGAGGCAGATGGACTAAAAAGGCCTGTCCTAATAAGTTTATCATCCACACAGGAGGGTCTCAGTGCAACCAGTGGCCACGTGTTAACACCACTAGAGCAACAGTATAGTTCCAATAGACACACTTTTTTAAAAACAGAAAGAGATAATGGCTCCTCAACAGACTCCAACTATTTTGACAGCTCTGTGGAGCCTCTTGATGTCTCTTTACCTGCACGTATGTGGAGAAGACGAATACAGTCCCATGACTTGGGTATCAGATACTCACAGAGTTCAGATTGTGATGAACAGCAGGAGGTTCTGAGCAACAGTTTAAATACTTCTCTTGAGGAATACTGGATTAAAACTCCATTTAGCCCCCCTGACTTCCAGCTGGAATTTAGTCAGTCAAGTCCATCATGTCCCCAGCTCTCCAGTTCTGATGGTAAAGACATGCCCCGTAGGCCCATGAGTCCCAAACCTCAGAGCTCACGATCCACTTCTCAGCACAGGACCTTTGGCTACCCCGGGCGCGTTTGCGCCGCTTCTACGCTCTCTCTTGGGAACAGCTCTGGAGTGGAAAGCAGTCTGGAGGCTCCTGAGAGGCCAAAGACACTGAAACCCAGGGGAAGTCTCTTACACTCGTTGGACGACTTCCAGAGGGATGACAGTGGCATAAGCAGTCAATCCCAGATCAGCTTAAACACAGCTTCTTCCATTAGTGACATGCTCCGAGATGAGGTGAGTTCTTGTCAGGGAATGACCAGGGAGTGGTTGGGTTTGCTCTACTGTGGTTTAGGAAAATTCCAGTGAAAATCTTCAATGTCTCATTGGTTAGATGAGTGCAAAAATGTTCCTCTTGGTTTAAGACAAGTAGCACTGCTCATTCTTCCTGTTTCTGTTCAAGACTGTATGAATCGATGTGCTCTCAAAGGGAGGATTTGCTACAAAATCCCAAAGGAATGGAGCAATCACAACACCATTAAACGTTGTACAGACATCACCCTGTGTTCATCTCCAGGTTTAAGCTGGGTTTTACCCCTTTTAGGACAGAATTCAGCCTTGTAGCTGGTGTATAGTAAATAAGTTTCTCATTGTGAAAAGCAACAAAGATACCAAGTCCTATGGCTAGTAGTCACTTTTTAAGAAGTAAAATCACAGTGAGTAGCTGTCTTTAGAAGTACCATGTGTCTTTTGCAGTCGCCATAAGTACTTTTGGTTGCTACTAGAAGTCTTCTTTTGCCTTTTCTACAACAAACAGAAAAAGACCCCAAACTGCAGGCTCAGGGTCTCCTTTTCATGTTGTATTTTGTTCTAATCCAGGTAACACATTAAGTCCTTCGCACAGGCTGAATCTCAGGGAACAGATTGGATCTTCATTAGGAATTTTGTGATTGGCTGAGACTTCTAAAAGCAGAGACTTCCTCTGTCAGTAGGCTTTTAATCCCAGAGAGGATTTCCCAAGATGTAAGTGGCTGGGAGCTTAGGAATCTCTTTCAGTGGCTAAGCACAACCCCCAGAGTGACTGAGACTGAGCTGTAACTGAGATCCCAGAACATGCCTCGACCATGCTACTTTTTCACTATTATTGCTGATGAGATTTGACATTAAAAAATGGGAGAATAATTTTTTTTGAGCAGATTGTCAGAAGTAGTACTTGAGAGAGTGCATGAACTTTTGCATACCCCAAGCAGACAATTTTCAGAGGGTTCATTAATGTGGAGCTTCTTGATCAATTCATAACAGCAGAGACATAGCCTGAAAGCAAGAAGAAAACATGTTCAGCTTGTGTTCAACTCAAATGAGTCTCACAGCTTTTGCTGCTGTTGCCTTTTGCTGTTGCCATCTCAGTTTACATTAAGCCTTTAAGATACCCCCCAAGATGGTCTTATCCTGTCTTTTCTCCATACTTTTTTACAGAAACTTCCTATTTTTTTTGTATAGAAACAAAAAAGAATAGGCAGAACCATCTCTTTTTCTAGCCAAGTCTTGAAAACCTCCATTGCTGAAGGTTGCACTGACTCTCTGGGAAACACATTCCTTGAGATTTTTTTGTTTCCTAATGCCCAACAAGAACTTTCCAAGCTGCAGTTTCTGGCCCCTGTCTTGTGGCTCTATCTGGCACTACTGAGAAGAGCTGGGTTCCATCATCCATGTAAATACAAAATTGTTGGTGACTGCCTTTACACTGCCTTTAGTGCCCTCTAATCAGCTTGAACAAACCCAGCGCTCTCAACATCTCCTCATATTCCCAAATGAAAGTGTTTTGCTTGATTGTCTTGGGGTTTTTCTCTAAAGCTGTCTGGAACCCAAAGTGTTTGGGGGGCAGTATGAGAGGTGAGAGCTGTGGTATCAGAATTCCAGGGGAAGAGAATTAGCTTTATTCCCTTCTGTGCTTAGCTTTACTAGAAAATCTTTTGTTTCATGGGCACCAGGTTAACCTACAAACTTAATGCTGCACACTGCATTCCAAACAAGAGACTGCAGCCGAGGAAAAAGCAAGACTTGGACTATACACACTGTCAACAGATGAAGCCTCTCAGAGGATGAATAAAATCATTGACCTGTAAATTACAGCTCAAAAGAACATCTAGAAAAGAGTGTAGATATGAGGGATGTGTAAAGCCTTGAAAAGGCAAGCCTACATGCTATAATGCAAGCATTAGGAGCAAATAAATAATTACTTAAATTGATTGCCAGGTTAAATTATTCAAAGAAAACCATAAAAAATTTAAATGGTATCTAAGACATATAAAAACAGTTTCATTTTCCTGATTCTTCTGGAGGCTGCAGAATATGATATCTGAAATTGGACAAATGCAGCTGGAGTCTAGAAATAAATGCAAATGTCCCAGATTTCAAAACACATCATCTAATTTTTTAAAACAGATAGAACTTTATTTATTTCCCTTTTCATGACATTGTGAAATGAAGTAGAATTGCACCCTGGATTTTTAAAGCAAAGCTGTATTTTCAGGAATCTCTGAAATTACAACAGACATTAGGCAAAGTATATTTGTAGTGTTAAATCTTTCCAAAATAATTATCATCTATATGCTAAGGATGGCCTTCCTTATGTATGCTGCTTCCTAAAGAGACCATAAAATTCAGTTTATTGGTGAATTTGAAGAAAAGTTCTTTTCTGTTCCACATGAGTAAAGACATTAGTGCAAAACATACCTGTAATAGTGAAGCTCTTGAGCTCATTTCCCACTGTGCCCTCCAGGGTGGGGATTTTATTTATTCCCCAGCCAGGTGTTTTTATATCTGTGTCAGCATTATCTGTGTTAGTGCTGTGCCAGACTGCCCTGGATCAGCTCACCCTGGACACCTCTGGCTCCCACTCAGGTAAGTGACTCCCCTGAGCCTGGTGGAGCACTCACCAGCCCCTCTCTCATTCCCTGCTAGTGGTTAACATTGCCCAGGTTTCATCCAGCACAAAGATTTTATGCTGCAAACAGCAAGACAGAACCATTACCAGTTTGCCCATCTGCCAGGCCCTTCCCTACATGTTTAATTAATCTGTTCATGGCATGATTTTATTTGCATAAATTGTGTTACTCAGCAGGCAAGAGCAAACTGTCCTAGAATGTCCCATGTTTGGAATTCACATGTTCTTCTCCTTGCTCCTGTCCAGTGAGGTAGGATTAGGCACAAAACACCTTTTTCACAGATTCTATTCTTTCTAGACTGTGCCATGTCATATGAGGGGAGAAGAAGAATTGACCTGGAACTGTTGGTTAGTTGAAAATAGAAAGGAAGTGCCTGCAGTGGTTTGAGGGTTGTTTTATTTGGGTTCTTCAAGTGATCTGCGAGAAACTGGACAGATACTATTGTCAGGATTTTTTTTGTCATGAGACTCCTGAGTTCACTCATTCCCCAGTGCTGTTATCTCCTACTTTAAATATTATTGATTCTCACACTGATGCTACCTGGAGTAGTAGCTGGTTGCCCAAGGGCACACTTGAAATCAAGTTGTTAGAGTATAAAAACTGTAATTTTGTAACCACTCAAATGGGAGTGAAGGGCAAAGCTGTGCAATTCCTTGCTCTTGGCCCAGCATCAAGCAAATAAAATGGATAGTGTAAAGAGCACATCAGGAAGCACAGGGCTTTATATATCAGACCTGCAGGCATCTATGAAGCCTTTTCACATTGTATAACTGAAGTACAGTTGGAAAACCAGAAACAGACAAGAGGTCATTTTTCTGTTTTCAGAGGCATGTCTGTGTTTGTAAACAATATTATAGAGACAGAGTGACCTAAATCCTGGTGGAATGGCAGTATGATATGCCATCTAAAATGAGGGTGAACAGGGCACTGTCCTGGGCACAGGGAGTGTATACTGCACCTCAAAGGACAGCAGAGCTGCTGCTTCAGGGTGGAGTGCTGCTAAGTGTTTCCTTCTGAGTAGTTCTGTGGCTGAGCAACAGAACTTTGCCATCTTCTGTTCAAACTGACTTGAAGCAAACAAAATTTCCATCCAACAAACCCTGTGTTTTCACCTGCAGTTTGTAAACCAGGAGTGTAAGCAGCCATGCCAATCAGCAGCTGGGAAGAGGCCCAATAAGAAATGGGTTCCCCATCGCAAAAGGAGGCCCCCCCGGGTGCCAGCCTGCCCCGTGGCCACCCTGGAGAGCAGAGCCCGCACGCTCTCCTGCCCTGCTCCCGAGGAAAAAGCCAAGGAGATGCCAGACAGGAGGAGGAAGAGACCCAAACCCCTCTATAAGTGCTTCAGCTTCGATGATGTTTGGATGGAGAGGAGTCAAAAAAGGAAGCTAGAGAAGGAGACACAGCCAGAGGGAGGGGTTCAGTTGCAACATCTCTCACAGGACCCCTCAAAAGTAAGAAGCCACACAGCAACCTCCTCGTTCTCTGGCATTGCCTTTCTCTCTGCTCTGGCTGTTTCTCTCTGCTGCCATCATGTTCCTGACCTTACACTTTGTCTGGTACCACTTCTGTCAGCATTTCTGTGGGCCTGGTACCCTGTGGAGACTGCAGAAACACCAAACTGGCTCTTAGGTGATAACATCTGAAGGTGGTGGGTTCCTTAGCTTCTGAAATCGATCAGTTCATGCCCTGTGAGATGTTGGGAATAGAATGCAAGAGAATCAGGTTACTTTCTGAGCTGAGTGATGGGGAGGGCAAGGAGCAAATCAAAGTTTCCTTAAATCAATATAAATTAAACTGATGAAATCTCATTCTGTGCCCTGTGGTGTTGCTATATAACTTTAATAACAGACTTTAAATTAGACTTCCCTTGTATCTGATGCCAACTCCACAATTCTTACTGAAGCAAATTCCTGCTGTGAAACACTCAGGAGAACATTGCCATTGGATTTTTAGCTATTAATATTCTCCTCTCCACTGAGGGAGACTTTTAGTTCAGCATTATGATTGCTTGTGAAAAACTTTGTGGCTGTTGTGAGTCACACTGATGGCATCTGTTACTTTTGGATCCAGAGCTAAGGTCTGTTCCCTTCAGGGAGAGTCACAAATCTCTATCCAAGAGCCAAAATTAGCCTTAATACATACAAAAGAACTTCTGGGGAAAAAAAGACATGAGATCAAGGAATGCTCTATGAAGCCTCTCACGATGATATTGAGAAAGTTTCTGATCAAGCTTGAAATCACGTAGCAGATACTCAAATAAAAGCTTTCCTTGGGGGTTTCTGTTTTGGTCTGCTATCTGTGTTTGTTTCCCGTTCTCTCTGTTGTCCTGGTTGCCTGTCTCTTGTTGTTATTGCATTAAAATGACAATTCTGGAGAGGAAATGAGGCCTCAGTAGTCCTGTCACCACTTCAGAATGTGCTTGAGCTTATGTGCACAGGTAGTTCTGCGAATGGTGAAGGGGAAACATTGGCTTGCCCAGAGAAAACCTGTCCACCTGGGAGAGCTCCCATCAAACTGACAGACACCTGGGACAGCAATCCCAGGAACAGGAGTTCTGAAAAACTGCCCCCATTCTCCCCTTCTCAAGGCAAGAGACTAAAAATCTGGGCTATTTTGTATGTGTTGGGCTCTTCAACACAGTGTGGCCAGTTGCTGCCTGGGTGAGTGCTGGATATGATTCTCTGATGTGTTTCCCACTCTCAGTTTAGTGAGGATGCTTCCTTGGCTCAGCTCCATGAGAGAGGCAATGAGCATTGCTCTTGAGGTTTGTGTATGTTAAGATAAAAAAAAAACAAAAATAAATGACTTGGGTCACTTCTCTACGTTGGCTGAAGTTCTGAGTGCTTAGTGCTGTGCAGGGATGAGGCAGGCTAGTGAAAGTGAATGCCTGGCTTACACAGGGTCAGGGATTAACAGAAATCAGTGAAATGTACTAAAAATATTTCTCCCAATTCCTGGACAAGCATGGGTAGTGATGGAAATCCAGCTGATGCTGCAGGGCATGTGGGCCAGCACTGAGCCCATTAAGGCTGCTCAGAGGAGTGACCAGTTCCCTCAATAGCTTCCCCTGGAGCCATCAGATCACACAGCTTGAATGCTGTCTGCTCTGCTGATTGACTGCACATTTGGAGGCTGCCAGAAAACAGCTTCTCCTTTAAGCATTTCCACCCTTATTTTCTGGTGCAAACTCACCTCTAAATTGCAATCAGCTGCTCAATGATTTGCAGCTGCCCCCGTGCCCACGAGGCCTCTCTGAACATCACCTGCCCAGGGGCTCTTGGACCTCAGTCAGATTTCTGGTTCATTCTTCTCTGGGCAGAAGGGTGTAGGTAGGTTTGGGGTTTACTGTTTCTGTCCATTTGTGTTTTGTAGGTTATTGACACCTTAATCTTTGTAGGCAGGCTAAGAAAGCAAATGCTGGTTTAATGAGAGGACTGTGGGGATTCAAAGTCTCTTTTTTATGCCCATATAACTGAATTTCTTGGCCTGTGCTTTTTATTTATAATAGTAATCACACAGTTTATTTTTCATATTATTTTATTCTATCTTTGCAATGCTCTAGTCCCGTAATAGTGCTGGTTTATTCATACTCCCAAGTGTCTTGGGAGTGCTGTCACAAGCTGCACTGTCTGAGGGCAATTTTGAAGGATGCTGAATCCCTTTTAATAAGAAGGAACAAATTATCCCAAAAGAAGCTCTGTAAGATGTTCATTGTCTGTTGTGGTTCTGTGACTGCAACAAGGGGACTGTATGGGGCTTTGCAGAGCTGAAATTACAAGTCTGATGTTTTCTGACACGGCTGCCTTGGGATGTGTGGCTTCTGTTGTGACAAGTCACATTGTGTTAAGTCAAGATCAGGTCAGCCCACAAGGCTATGTAATGCTGCAATATTGGGGAAACAACTCAATGGGGCAGAGCAGAGAGGAATTCTTGCTTATTCAAGTGCTGATTTCTGATACTCTATCATTCAGATGAATGTACAGAGAGGAGCATTATGGAAATATAAGGCTACTCTGAGGGCTGGCAGTTGGGACAGGGAAAATGGACAATCAATCAAGAAACTACCTATAAGCTAAAAAAAAAAAACAAATCCAAAAAACAAAACCATTTAAAATGCCAGTTCCAAACAATTTTATATATTGTGAATTTTTTTTTTTTTGCTTAGGCCCAGTAAACTGCTCTCCTTCCTTAAATGGGTACAGCCTGTGTAAGTTCCCAGTCAAACTCAAAGCTTGACCCAGCTGTCCCTTATAATGAGATGCTGCCAGTAACAAGCTGAGCAGCTTCTGATCTTTAAACTCTTAACACAGCACTCCCCATGCTGCCCACCCCAAGGGGAAGAGGACAAACATTGCTGTGGATGAATCTGTGTTCTTTTGCTGTCCATAGGCTGTGCCCTTCAGATGATGGTGTGGGTTTCAGGCTGTAGCCTGGGGTTCTCGTGCTTGTTTTTAATGCAGGAGAAGTTCCCTCACTGGAGCAGAGGCAATGCCCCAAACCACTGCCTTATGGAATGCTGTAATGGCAATGGGCTCTGGTTTGGGAATTAGTCTTGCTCTGAACTGCCTGTGTATTGCCATCCAGTGCTCTCCTGTTTTGACAAAAATTTAAACCCTGGTTCTTAATCTTGATGCCTCTTGAGTGCACAGCAATAAAAGCACAGACATGGCTTCTATGTGCATTTGTTTGAGCACAGTTTGTGCACTGTCAAATTAGAGAGATTCCTAAAAGGCCCATCAGGGGGCTATACCCAGAGGGGGTATCGTGCAAAAAAACCCCTTTGATTTTGAAAAAGATATGAGAAGCAGTGAAAAATAGATCTTTAGCTCATTGCTCTGAATATGACTTCTGCAACTCCAATTTTACCCCATCCAAAATAAGAGAAAAGGAAGTTTTGTTGTGTAGTACCATGGTTTGAGCACCGTGGATAACTCAGATAGATTTTAACTCAGAAATGAATACACTTTGAGGAGGGAATTTAATGAAGAAAAGTCTCCCCCTCATGTGCACCTGACAAGGCATGGATGTACAATAGAGCCTCTGCCAGGGACTGAATTGCTGTGCAAAAGAGCATACAAATAACCTCTGGAACCTCTGGCAGAAAATACAGGAGAGAGGACCTTTACTATGGTCTGCTCCCTCATTTCTCATCCTCTGCCTTGTAGGTTGTGCAATCCCTTCCCCATGTAGCTAACACTGCTGAAAATGCTTCCTCTCATGAGTTAGGGCTGTACAGGCCTGCCTTCCATGCCACAGGAATCAAATGATGCCTGTACCAAAATTTGCTCTGATGTCCCAGGAATTAATAACAATAAAGCTTGCAGTTGTAACAGCCCTAGGCCAGGGTTCTGCTTTCTAGTCTTAAACAGAACAATAATGCTTTCAATCACCTCTCATGTAAATAACTTAACTTTACCCTTGACATTTTCAGAGCTGTGGCCCAGTAAGCTTGATTTTCACTGTCACCAGAAGAGTGTGTGCTCCCACTGGATCTTTGCTGTGACTTTTCTAGAGAAACAGGCACTGCTGAGTTTAATTTGAACAGCGTTCATGCTATCCCTCAAGAGATGGTGATTTGTGTTCTCTTTGTTTTAGGAAAGTTAAGTCCAGGAATAGAAAACCAAAGCAGGCATGGAGCAGCAGCACTCTCAGCTGTGTGAGCAGTGTGTGCTGGTTAGTTTGGGAAGGAGGGTTTGGCTAATAACCATCATCAGGAGAGGATTCAGCATCAAGGCTGGTCAAGACTTTCTGCTGATAGGACATGCTGTGGGCTGGTGGGGAGAGGGAAAGATCCCAGAGAGAATACTAGACCTCAATATTTCAAGTTCCTGGCTCAGAGAAGGATGGATATGTTGTAACTCAATGTCAGTGGAAAAAGGAAGGAGCAATAGTGATAGAAATGAAAAACTGTCTGTGCCCATGGGACCAGTGCTTACTGACCAGCTGATCTCCCAGCCACTGATGTTTTCTGCATGTGGCAGCCACGGAAGAGAAAAGAGAAAAAAGGAAAAGGGGATAAAAGCATACCTGCAACATGCCTTAATTACTACATTCTGTATTAGAGGCCATGAGCTATGTGTATGTATCTCTATGTTTTCCCCTTTAAACCAGCAATAGTTAGTAACTCAATGACAGCTGGCATTGGTATGGAGTTTTCAAAGTTCTATTAAGTTATCTAAGTTTTATAAAATCAATCAGCCAGGTAGAGGAGAGTATGAGAATTCTTACTTGTACCTTTAGCTGAAGAGAAAAATACTGTTATCCACACTCTGTGTGGCTGGTACCAATAAATCTTTGAAGAGAAAAGCTTTATTTTCCTGTTAAATACCAGAAGAGGACCTATTAGACACAAAGCTTCAGGAACAGTTCTGCAGCTGAGGGGATGACTCCTTGTGGTGATATTAGCCCCCCACCCCCCACTAGAAATACTTTATAGGGAAGAGTAAAACTTTCTGTGAATGGAGATGTGTGTGGCTGTATGTGAAGGATGAATCTGTTCTTATCACCTTGCAGTTTTCCTTGCCTTCTCACCGTTTTCTAACATTTCTAGCCACAATCATCCATGTGTGTCCACTAACATGCTGCTTACTTACACAGGCAGGTCTCAGAGGTGGGAAGAGGTGCTCTGGGATGAATGCTGGGCATTTAACTGAATGTTTGTTGCCTTTGTTTTCCCTGTCCTGTTGCAGGCTGGAATAAGTCCATCCATCACATCTCCTGTTGCCTTTGACATCCTGCCCCTGAAGCTGCATTCCTTTTCCAAGAGCACCCCGACAGGCCTGGACTGCGTGGGCTGCAAGCGGCGCACCTCCGCTCCCGGTGCGTACCCTGGGCCAGGCTGGGAGCAGGGGAGAGTGAAACTCTGCTTTACTGAGTGTGATAAGCCTTCTAACCTGGCCATGATGATTGCTGCATCTGCTTTAGAGTGGAATCTTTCATACGTTTTCTCTGCTTTAGAGTGGGACCTTTCATATGCTTTTCATATTTGGGGTTTGTTTTCTCCCTGAGTGGATGAACAGGGTGCTGTTTAGAGGCATGGCCAGCTTTTTAGTGAAGAAGAGATCACTCCTTGCAATGATGGTGTGCTGTAAGAATCAGTGCCTGCTGGGCTGTTTGGGTCCTGTCCAGCAGCTATGGACCCCAGCCCACATGATCTTACATGGACAAAGGCAAAAGATGAGAAGCGCTCTTCTTCACATGGGGACTAAGTCCGAAATTTATTTCCTTGATAGGAGACACCAGATCATCCAGCTGCTCCCCAGATGGAAAAGAGGGTGTTGCCTTCTCCCGGGGGGGATTTTGAGCTGAGGGGAAGGGGGACGGAGGAAGGGGGCAACAGCTGATGGGATCCAAGTGAGGAGGGTGAGAGGAGGGGTAACCCAGGCAGAGAGCACCAACACTGATGGGGGAAAAGGGGGAGACCCTGTCATGACAGGATACAAATCATGTGAACAGTGCAAATTACCAAACACCCAGTGCAAATAACTAAATAACTATGTAGTGCAATACAACAGTGTGCCTGATGGAGAAACATTGTGTTGTCTCGTGAGAACTGTCCCACCTATGATGATGTCACCTCTGTCACACTCTTGAATTAGATTTCTGCTGATGAAATAGGCTCTGCCTTGTGTTTGCTGGAGAGCACTACAGTGGGTATGGTGAGATTCCTCTCAGGTTGCTAATTAGGCACTAAAGCAACTAAATGAGCCTCTAGAGACAGAAGTTTCCTGTACTTTAAATCCCCCTAAAGAACAAGTATGCTGTGTTTTCATGAGGAATGCACATGAAGTATCATGTCTGCTTCATTTCCGATGACTGACACTTTCTCAGAATTAAAATGTAACTTGCACAGATTATTAAACTGTGAGATGTATCTTTGCCAGGTTTTTAAATTCTCCATCTGACAGTGCCTGCCCAAACACTGCTGATATCTCTATCACAGCACTTTGGGCTGGAATAAGGAAAACAGAATGCAGAGGAGTTGTTTGGTGTTTAGGAGCCTAGCCAGGAAAAGCCAGCCACAGTTGGGTGCCAAACTGCCATTCCTGCCTCAGAAGGTCTCTGTACAATCGATTAAACCCTGCTGGAGTTACCTAATTAAGGGACAATAACATTCTACTAATTACATCAGAGTTAAATGGTCATAGTATTTTATCAAGCAAAACTGGTTTGTTTTCTGACACTTAGTGCAGCTCTTGCACAGAGTCATAAGGCTTGATCTGGAAATAAGAAAACTAATTATTATTGTGGTGCTTAGAGCCTTGCCTTTGCTCTCTCAGCTCTGAGGGCTTTGATCACTTGCTGTCAGAGGCATCTGGTGCTGCCCCAATGCTTAGGACCAGCTCCCTGGCTGAATTAAAAAAGCTATAGCTTTACTCCTTGGAAATCCCACATGGAAAGCCATCATTGTCAAGTTGTCTGTGTATCTCTGACATCAGCTGAAATCCCTGAGCACTGCTGTCATAGAAGTACATTCTGAGGCACAGCTGAGACAAATTTCATGGTAGTTCCCAACTGGGACATGAGGGAGTTAAAAAATATGTATGAATTTCTGAGGGTGAATAGGGGAAATAAATGTATGCAGACTGACCAGGTGGCAGTGCTGTAGGTGTTTATATGCTGTCTAGAAATGGGGCCTGCAACCTGAATCATCTGGGATTCACACAATATTCCTGAGATAGGTACAAATGAGTTTCATACCATGACCTAAGTATTTCTGAGTAAATGTAGCAAAACAAATGAAATTGAGCAGAATCATTTTTCCACCACCAAAACCATGCTCCTGGCAAAGGAAACTGATGGAGAGAGGAAGCAGAGGTTCTTCTACCTTAGCCATCTGTGTTAGCTGCTGCATGTGGGCTTCATTTGAAGTATTCTGGAGGAGATGAATGTGGGCACGCGTCCTGCCTGTGGTGGGATGTGGATGAGAAGAAAACTGCAAGTTACTGAAGTAATGCTCTGAGGCTGATAGATCAGTTTTAAGATTGGCCAAGTCCTTGAGGCAGTAGTGCAGCAAAATGCCTTCTTTGGTTCTTGTACAGATTTGTTGTAATACCTGTTGTTTTTGATAGAGCTGTAGGGCATGTAAAATAAATATAAAATAGTCAATTCATTTAATCTAATTTTAAGATTTCTAACTGCAAAGCTGCAGCTGCTTGTATTAATGATCCCAGTCTATGCTGCAGTCGTAAAAGACAGTGGATATAAAAGTACTATGCAATATCCAGTGCTACTAGATACTTCCATGTTGAAAATACGGATAAATTTCCCACTCCCAAAGTCTGCACCTTGTCACCTTGTGCGGAGATTGCTGCAGAGACTAGGAGGGATGGAGGATGGAGACCTCTCTAGTTCTGCAGTGTGAAATGATGGCTGGGATAGTCGCAGCCCAAAAGGTGCCATGCACAGCTCAGATTCTGTCATGCACCTGCCTAGGGGCTGGGACAAGAGCTGGGGACAGCCTGGCTATCCTGGGTGCATTTTGCTGGAACAGCATGACAGCAGAGAAATTTCATTTTAACGCTGGATGCGCTGTGCCCGT